CCCATTCCAAACTAAAAGACAAATTGAAAGAGTTGGTATTACTTTGTTTCATTAAAAAGAATGGCGAACGTAGATACAAGTATCTTGTCTTGGGGAGGGATAAATCCTACTTTGTAAAGAATCACTCTGATTCAAACAAAAAATTCTCTGAAACTGACATTATCAAGATGCTTGATTTCTTGATTGACAACATATTTGTTACGTTTGGAGGACGTGTTTTTCAACAGACTGTCGGAATTCCAATGGGAACCAATTGTGCCCCTCTTCTTGCCGACTTGTTTCTTTATTATTATGAGGCTGACTTCATACAGGAGCCTCTTAGGAAGAGAGATAAGAAGTTAGCAATATCCTTTAACTCTACGTTCCGCTTTATAGATGATGTTCTCTCACTAAATAATACAAAATTTGGTGACTATGTTGAACGAATCTATCCCATCGAACTAGAGATAAAGGATACTACAGATACAGTTAAGTCTGCCTCATATCTTGACTTACATCTAGCAATTGACAATGAGGGTCGGTTGAAAACAAAACTTTACGACAAAAGAGATGATTTCAGCTTCCCAATTGTGAACTTTCCATTTCTATGTAGCAACATTCCAGCGCCTGCATACGGAGTATATATCTCCCAATTGATACGATATTCCCGGCCTGTGTTTCCTATCATGATTTCCTTGATAGAGGATTGCTGCTCACAAGGAAGCTATTAAACCAAGAGTTTCAAATGGTGAAGTCATCCCTTCGTAAATTTTACGGACGCCGTCACGAGTTGGTTGACCGTTATGGAATAACCGTTTCACAGATGATATCGGATATGTTCCTTATGTCGTAACTACAATACCCTTCCCTTTTCACGAATGTGACTTACCGAATTAGACTATTTACCGGATTTGTAATAACATACTCAACAAGACGGGTGCCACATGTGGAGCAGGATCTGCTTACCCTTCCGGAGCACCTGAGATCACCCCCAGTTTTTGGTGGGGTTCGTGTTGCTTAGTCTTTAGTTTTCTTTGTTGTGTCATCTGTACTATTATTTGTCTGTTTGTCTTTTTATTTTTGGCCATGACCTGTCAGTTTGTTTTCGATCTATGAGTTTGACTGTCCCTCTGGTATCTTTCGTCCCTCTTTTTTTTAATAGCTTAATAGCCGAATAGGTGAGGCACATGCTTTTAAAAGATTTGACCCTCCCCCTTTTTCACCGAGAAAAGACAATATCTTGTGATTTGGCAAATTGCTACTGTGCATTAAATTATAGCAATTCATGCTTTTCTTAAAATATGTTTGTCTGTTTATTTGCATATTAATGACCAGCTGCTGATTAATGGTGTAAAACACATGTATCAAATTATATTCGTACGAAGTGTGTTATTTCCCTTGATTATCAGCTATTCCTGTAGCATGTGCAGCTGCATTGTTTGCTTTGTTTGTAGATCTTGTCTTTTTTATAACTTTTGCCATTTAAAGGTTCTCTCTATCTATTAGAGCGTTAAAGATAATAGATAAAAACGAAAACAAAATTGGAAAAGTTCGTCATTTAGGGGCAATAACTCCTTTCAGAAGTCGTCCGACTGTTTTGGTTTAGATAGAGGGTATGTAGATTTCATCATTCTGAACATTTCTGCCTCTGTAAGATTTTATCTATTTATAATGGTTATCAAGATAGTAACATATGCTTGCATTTACAACTTCTGTTCTATTTTTAACTTGGTGACAGGCTGGATAACCGGACTCATTTCTAAACTAGATATCCCAAGAATGATTGTGGCCAAAATAAAAATAAGGAGATGTGGTATGATTTCCAATGAGACAACTCTCCACCAGAGACCAAATGACTTTGAAGGTTAGCAACTATAGGTCATCGTACGGTCTTCAACAATGAACAAACCCCATACCGCATAGCAAGCGACAAAAGGTGCCGAAATGACAAATGTAAAACAATTCAAAAGAGAAAACTAACAGCCAGATTTATGTACAAAAAAATAAATGGAAAACAAACATGATATACAGTAACAAACGACAACTACTAAATTACAGGCTCCTGACTCAGTTTAGTTTTATTTGGCCGATTAGTATCAGATGAGATTTTTGTAAAACGGACGCCAAGTGATAGCAATAGGACACACTGGCCCTCTGGACCGAATGAAGTAAAAGGGAAGAAGATGTATGATGCGTCTATCAACAACCCAATGCAAACACATAATAGAAATTAGTGCGCTTTCATTGTATCAACCCTTAGAAAAACTACTTTATGTAACATATTTATTTGCTTTGTTTATTTCGAAGTGTTTCATACATAACAACAATAAAAAGGGTTTTGCAACACCTGAATTCAAACAACATAATACAAGGTCGTAAAATAATATATGAATTTGGGACAAAAATAAAACTGTTGGCCTGATTCATAAAAATTATTTAAATTTACAACAATAGCTTGTAAGACAATGATAATTCCTTTCTTCGTTATATGTACACGCTAAACGATCGTACTTAAGGTTGAAGAAAGTGATTAGTATTATTTTACATATGCTGGGATTGATTGAAAAAAATCTTTTCTAAAGAGCGATGATGAGTATTTTGTAATGACCAAATATTCTGGCAAATCAGTCAACTGTTCGTGACTATTTGATTGATTGTTGGTTACTCAACTTTTAGTGGCAAATGTTTGAAGCATATTCAGGACGAAAACCTGTTTACAATCAATACAAAGGGTAGGCTATGCACAAACGGTCGACTGGATAAATGAAATTTGAACTGCGTCGAAAGTGTGAGCGTACTATCCTGCTATAAATGCGGTGTGGGTTTTGCTCAGTGTATATCGGGGTTTTTCGTCTTTCCTGTGTTGAGTTGCCGTCTCGTTTTTTGTTCACCCCTCTAACATTGTTTTCATACCTTGACACCAGGATGTTTATAAGGCTGTATTGTAACAAAAAGCCATATGAATGATATTGAGTCATTGACAACTCCAAATTTGGTATGTACTCCTATTGCTGTATAGTTTGAGTCAACTTTACATTAAACATATTGAATTTAATATACGTTAACATGAATTGTAAGTTGTTGTTTGTCAATAAAATTATCATAGATACCGGGATTAGAATTGGGTACGCCTGACGCGCGTTTCGTCTGTAAAAGACTCATCAGTGACACACGAATAAAAAAAAATAAAAAGGCCAAATAAAGTACGAGGTCGACGAGCATTGATTAAACACTATTTTCATTAGTAATCAGATGTTAGTTAGTTGGTTGTATATGTATTTTTTGTAATTCTTGTTCTCCTTTTTATGTATAAGGTAATCCTGTCAAAGGAAGTTAATGAATTATATATACATAAAGGAATTATTCCCATATAAAGAAGATAGAAAAAACATTTATCTACATGTAACTCAAACAATCGCTACGAGGCACAAACACTTACTTACATAAAAACCATAGACACAAAGCAACGTAAGCAGAGTACGTGCAGTTACTGAAAGCTAGTTCAAAGCCAATAACAAGTAATAAATAAAACATGTTCTCCCAAACTAAAGTATCAATCAGCGCACATCAAGCGGATTTTGTGTGAGGACGACGTAAACCGTCTGGGAAACACATGGCATTTTGCTATGCCAAAATATAAGTAACCAGTATCGACAGGATGAATGATCATGAATTTTCATAACTGTACAAATATAGAAATATATAGTAATTTCTTAATTTTTCAAAAACTAATTCAATGTAAGAACCAATAAAAACAAACTTTTAGGAAAGAATCATTGAACATGTGCTTAGAATATTCTTCTCCTCTGGTAAATTTGATTAACTTTTGCATCATACGAACTCATAAACTACTTAGATAAGTTATTTCGATAGTCTGCTATTAATGTAACATTTTTCTATCACTTCATAATTTTCTGATGCTTCGGACGCATGAAACTTATAAAAACTTTTCATTTTTTACAGCACTGGATCAATACTGGTGCTGATGGACCATCAGTTCCCGAGGGTATCATCAGCTCACTAGTCAGTGCTTTTGTACTGACATGATTTATAGCAAACATTTAAAAAATTGTCCATTTGTAAATTTAGAAATTATAAAAAAAAAAACAAAGGTTTGAACTCCCTCAGCCAAAAGTGATCTTAGATGGATTTGGCTATTACTTTAGGTCATTTTTGATTATATAGCTTTTCAACTGTTTCGGTTCAAACGCATCTGTTGCTCTCCAAATATTCGGCTTTGAGCGTTCCTGATGAACGTAAATCAAGAAAAGCGCTTCGGACGCATGAAATTTATGAGGAGTTGTTTTATATTTTTTTTTCAGTAGAATGTTACTACTAATAAATTATCAAAAAAGAGGTTGATAGGTATATGCTTATAGGAAGTGAAACAAGATAATCAAGTTCGTTGGGAACTCTCCTACGATCGTATAGATTGACACTGAAAGGTTGAATCATGCTTTGCAGGGATTTTGCCCACATGTACGTCAATTATTCAAATTGTAACTACGTCTTTTGGTGTCAAACAAATAGGCGGAAGATTCAAAGGTGACATTCAAAGCTCATAAGTCGTAGTAAAACTAACAACAACATTGAGAAAAGCATAAGACGGCAAAACGATAAATGCATCCACAAAACAATTCACAGAAAACTAAATACTGGGCAATGCGAACTGCATTAAAATATTCTTTGAAGCTCTTAGGTGCTCCGAAATAGTAAGCAAATCATGCTCCACTAGTGGCACCCGTCATGGTGTTCAGGTCAAATGCTCATAAGTGTTGTACTGTGAATTTCCAAGGCCATACAGAAATGACTTAGCATTTATGCATCTTGCAATGAACTAATCTCTAAGAGTAGTTACAAGTAGTTTTGTAATTATAGAGAATCGTCCATATCCCCTCATCAGTGTTAATCTAAGGCCCCAATCGGTTCAGATGCTGCTGCATTTAATATGTTTTCAAAATTGTAAAATGATACCTTAATTTTGCAAAAGAATTACTTTATAATACATGAAACAAACAGTATTTACATAGTCAAACAATTTATTAATAATCTCAATATAAATAAATACACCGCAATTAAACAACTAGAAAGTATACAAATATAGTATTTCAAAGAAACGTATCAGCAATCAAATGTATAAAATTGAAAGTAAAGACGATGTTTTTATAAGTATTCAAACATATTTTAGTGGTATTTCTATTTATGACATGATGTAGTACTCTTTGCCTTTTTCTATTTTTGAAGTTTTTTGTCCTATTTATAACTTTCGTCTCATTACCCAATACAATATTTTGTCTGACTTTTATCTGAAGACATAAAAATGTTGTAAACAGGAAGTCCCGAGTGATTTTTAGCAAATATTGTATGATTGTCTAATTTTAAATTTACAAACTTAGTTTCAGTATAAAGAGCACATCACTTTCAATTTCAAATTCTCATTTCATATACATTTTATCCTTAAAGTTAATTTGTAATATATTAATAACTAAGCAAATAAATCAAACTCTAACATCCTCTGTCTCATTAATGTATCACTGATTTGCCCTGAAAGATAAAATCTTCTGTTAAAGCGTTTTTAAAATTGGTGCATAATTAACTTTTACAATATGATTCGTTATAATTTTTGCTGTTGAATGCATTTTTTGGACTGGTGTTTCAATTTTAAATAACTTTCTAAATGCAATGATTCGAAGTTACATTGTAAATAAGTGTTAGGAATAAACATGTATAAGCAAGTTATTATTGATTTTATTTTTAACATGTACAGGTTGTTACTTTTTAAAAAAAGGACCAAATTATCGTCCTCCCTCTAAAAAAAATATTGGAATCAGTGTCGCTAGTTCACAAAGTCGCTCTTTCATCGCACTGTAAAAACTGGGGTAAACAACGGAAATAATCTGATAATATTATTATTTATTACGCCAGACGCGCGTTTCGTCTTCATAAGACTCATCAGTGACGCTCAGATACAAAAAGTTACAAAGGCAAACAAGTACAAAGTTGAAGAGCATTGAGGACCCAAAACGTCAAAAAGTTGTTCCAAATACGGTTAAGGAAATCTATGTCTGGGATGAGAAATTCCTTAGTATTTTGAAAAATTCATATTTTTGTAGACAGGAAAGATCTTCTGATTCTTATTGAAATAAATGTATGAATGTTGTGGATATATGAGTGTTAAAAAATATTCTCCTTGATGATATTATTGTACGTTTCGGAAATAAAGTGTATCGACAGGTTGTAGATATTCATATGGGCACCAATTGTGCCTCCTTAATAGCAGACTTGTTCTTGTTCTGAAACTGTTATGAATCAAAGTTTATGACCAAAATCAGTACAGACCAGTATACATTGCATTTAATTGATAAATTCAACAACACTAACCGTTATCTTAATTAGTTTTTTTATCGTTTAATAATCAAGACACCAAAACTAAATTCTTCCATAGATATAAAGACTTGGTTTTGAGGTTTGGTTGTACATGAAGAAAACTTAATTATTTCAAACAGGATAGCACTTTGTAATTTTTACGGAGATGTTGTTTACCGAGCCCTGAAAATTAAAAACGACCCGGGTAAACCTATCGATCCTTTAAATAAAATAATTATAAAAGGTTACAAATTCAACACTTTAATTAGATATTAAAATACTTTTTTCATTGGTATTGATATTAATTTTGTTATCCGTAAATTAAAATCAAATTTAATATTATGTTTATATACATATGCACATTCAAGGCTCTACAATCTGTCGATACCTGCATCTTTGTATTGCAGAAGGTCATATTTTTCTCTGACTGTTTATAACGTCTTTGCGCGAAATCCATTAGATGTTGGATGTGTATTGATTTGATATTTTAGTCGTAAATGCATGATTTTGTTTTTAGTTGATATTGGCTTTGAACTAGGTTTCGGAAACTGTAAGTATTCTCAGATCTGCATCACTGTCTAAGGTAAGGGTGGGGTTACAGCCTTCAAACGAGTTTAACCCCGACGCATTCTGTATGTGCCTGTCCCAAGTCAAGAGTCTATAATTCAATGGTTGTTGTTTGTTGCTGTGTAACATATTTGTTTGTACATTATTCGGTACATAAATTAGGCCATGGATTTTCTAGTTTGAACTGTTTTACATTAATTTGTCATTTGAGGCTATTTTTAGCTGACTATGCGGCGAGGGCTTGCCCATTGTTGAAGGCCATATGGTAACCTATATATGGACGCAGGACATTTCAGCGAAAAATTTTAAATTACTAGAGGACATTTTAGCGCCGACATCAGAGCCCATTTTAGCGCCGGATTAATCAGTTCACCTGTATTTTCGATAGCTCATGTTAGCGAAAACCTACTTGGTTAAATAATACTCACCTTACTATAACCATGAACAGTAATTTATACTGATTTAATTTTTAAGCTTAAGTTTTGTATTTAACCTTTTAGACTTTTAGTGTATTTTACTGTATTTTATCTACAGATATAAATTTCAGACAAGAACGGACTTTTAACATTTGATTTTATCTTTTAGACTTTTAGTGCTGTATTTTAATGGACATGATATGTTTTATATTGTGCTGTCTTGAGTCTATTAAAGTTTTTTTTTTATTACATATCATGTATTATAATGGGTTAAAAATATTTTGCTAAAATGGGCATAGACAACTTTAATTTTCGCTAGAATGGGTTAAAAATCAGGCGCTAAAATGGGTTTTACTTTGGCGCTTAAACGTCTGTTTTTTTTTTGGATTTGTTTTCTCGCTTAAATGTCCTATCAATGCGCTAATATGTCCTCCACCGCCTATATATATATATATATATATATATATATATAGTCGTTAATTTCTGTGTCATTTGGTCTCTTTTCGAGAGTTGTTTCATTGGCAATCATACCACATCTTCTTTTTATAATTATCATTTTAATTGCAAAATTTAATGTATATTTCGCTTTGATCAATTCTTGAATTGTCTCTTTGGAGACAAAAAAATTACGATTTTGGTGGACTAACATATTACTGTTCTAAAAATAAAATATAGAATTAAACATCAATACCCATTTTCTTTTGAACAAATCCGTAAACTTAAACTTTTCGTCCTTGCAGTACGTTCAGTAAATAAATATTAATACAAACCTATTTCTTATTAAAATCCAAAATCCACAAAACCAGGAAAAATGAAATAATAATAGACTGTAAAGTTGAGTTTAGAAGATCACCTGAAGTCACTATGTTAGCTATTAGAACTCCAATTGCTAAACGTAATGTCTGGCCCGCTCCGTGCAAATCTTTCATAAATTGTTCTGCTTCCTAAAGTAAATGAGTTTGGAGTCAAACTGTTTGAACAATTGCTAATGGACGTAAATCAAAATGTATGCAAACCTTAACGACATTATGAAGTGGTCTCATTTGGGATGTAAGGGTGATGCTGGACTGCTTGATTTTTTGAAAGCGTGACACGTGAATTTTCCGGGAAAACAGGGAAAAGTCTGGCTATTATAACACTTATAACAACGATAAGTGGGATACGGGACTGGGACAAACGATAAACTAGATCCAGGATCAGACCTTCCCAAAAGACCTACTATGAATCCAAAACACATTATTACCTTACAAAAATATGTTGGATTAAAGCTCAAAATCGAAGGAGTAGACAGTTTTGATTTATCAGTTGAGATCCTTTTTGAAATGTTTTGATAATCAACCAATGTGAGGTACTATTCCTGTTAAGGTTTTAAAAGATGTTTGTAAATGTTAAAACAAGTGTTTATCTCTTCCATACGAACGAAACTTGATAATCTGTCAAAATTTTAATAAGTCCATTATTTAAAACATTTAAAAACTGCTGTTTCATGATTCCAATAAATTAGTTTGACCTGAAAACATGCTCACACATTGTTGTCAATATAATGGAATTCTACGCGACTGTCATATAAGTGAGAGGTTTACCTAGCGTCAAAGCCAGGTTTATTCCACCAATGTCTACATAAGGAAATGGCTGTACACAATTGATGCTATAAAAACGTACGCGCAAGAATTTTAATGTATGATTTGACGTTGTTTTCTGTCAGTTTCATTAGAATGGAGATAACCATATTGTATTTTAAGCTCTGACATCATCAATTAGTGAGTTGATGCCGTCGGAGCTTATAAATACAATACAGTTATTCTTAAAATCAGCGACAGTCTAAATCATGTTTTATTTTAAGCCTTAAACAGTATACTAGTATTCTCTTTTCGAGTAAAATCATAAAAATATTGATATCCGGGGAAAATTCAAATAGCTCAGTCAAACACATCAAACGAATGAATAACAACTGTCATATTTCTGAACAATGGTATAGGCATTTTCGTATGTAGAAAACGCTGGATTAAACCTGGTTGTATAGCTAGCTAAACCTCTCACTTGTATGACAGTCGTATCAAATTCCATCATATTGAGAACGATCTGTGTTAACGATGTATATAATGACAACGATGGAGTCACACTTTAAACAAATGTCTTACCTTTTTTCGTATTGCTGGTTTCTCATCGGACTTATTCGATTCTCTGATTGAATTCGACATCATAAGGCGAATGCTCAAAATTGTGATATAAGCTAGATACCCAATCAGAAAAATTGAAGTCCCAATAACAAAATAAGAGTACAGTTGGTATAAAAGATAAATTTCAACTATGACGAATGATGCTACCAATCCAAACACATTTCGCTGAACCTTCAATTTTTCAAAATTTCTTTTCATGATGTCTTCTTTTGTGGAAAATACTTTTGTCTAAAATAGATAGGAGAAAATATGTAATAAATCGTACATAGTTAGATTTTAATCTTTAGCTTCCTTTTAATCAGAGTTACAATAAAAAAACGAGCTTGTTATATATGATATGATTATTTTTTATGTAGCATTTACAATAAAATTAAAGGATATAATATCTATTCTATAAGTAGCGGATTCACAGTAGCTGTTTTACTCTTGGACTGTTGCATATCAGCTGTAGAATTAAAAACAAACTGTCTTGATTCATAGGCCTAGTGGTCAAGTAGTTACTATTGACATCACTAGCCAGTCAACACTGAGGTTGTGAGTTCGAACCCCGCTCGTGTGGGTGCACTCGACTCCAATCTTAATTTACTAGGGTTGTCAATTTCCCTATTGAAGGTCGGTGGTTTTCTCCGGACACTCCGGTTTCCCCAACCTATAAAAACTGGCGCTTAAATGTGGCGTTAAAACACCAACAATCAATCAATCAATTTTCGTCCATATAGCAAGCACTTTATCAGTCCTAGTCCACAATAGTTGTGCATTTAATTCACAGAAGCAATAAAAAAATCAGCAACTGCAAATTTCTTATAGAGGGAAGATATTTGTGTATTATGTTTTAATGTTAAACGACTGTCCCTTGTAAGAGGAGTGTTGGTGCATTCCAACCAATAGTTTAAACGAGCCGCATTCTGTATGTACCTGTCCTTAGTCAGGAGCATAGAATTTGATGGTTGTCATTTGTTGCTGTGTAATATATGTGTTTTTTTGTCATTATTTTGTATATAAATTAGGCCGTAAGTTTTCTTGTTTGTTTTTTATTTTTTTTACTTTGCGGTGAGGGCTTTGTTCATTGTTGAACGCCGTACGGTGACTTATAGTTGTTAATTTCTGTGTCATTTAGTCTCTCGTAGTGAGTTGTCCCATTGGCAATCATATTGAATCTTCTTATTTTTAGAAGCATAGATCGATGCTTTTATGTGAACTTTTCAGCAGTGGTATCGACCCGACGGTATAAATAATTAACACTTTTATACATATATGTTGTGTACAAGTTAATGTTGTACAACATAGCTCAAACAAACCTTAAGCCGAGCGAAGAAATTTGTAGGCTGTTGAGCATCATTCTGTTTTACAATGACCAATTGCGTCACACAACACACGACTACCACGATCTGTAGTGCCTGATAACCAATTATTAGTGGATATAAAACGTCAAGTATGTGTAGTAGCGTATAACCTGCTATTTCACCAGATATCGACATTTTCCTACAAAATTGCGTTCGTCGTTTGCTGAAATGTAAATACCATGTATACGTTGATTGATAGTTCCTAATAACCAATTGTAATTTGTAATAACATGAGTAACACGACGGGTGCCACATGTGGAGCAGGATCTACTTATCCTTGCGGAGCACCTGAGGTCACCATCAGTTTTTGATGGTGTTTGTGTTTTTCAGTCTTCAGTTTTCTATGTTGTGTTTTGTGTACTATTGTTTGTCAATAGTTTTTTTTCTGTTTTAGCCATGGCGTTATCTGTTTATTTTCGACACATGAGTTTGAATGTCCCTCTTGTATCTTTCGCCCTTCTGTACTTCAGTTAAACTTATCATTAATGTTTTAACTTGGACAGATTTATTTTCATTCTCTGTATATTTATATGTCTTATATATATTCAATATTACAAACAGTAAGAGAAAATAGGCTTGTTTGCGCTTACGTAAATTGATCACAAGTATACTATATAATACAAGCTAAAGGGACATACACAAATTATTGAACGTCATCTAAGGACAGATTTGACCGAAGCAGTTGGATCCTTAGCTTCTTAGTAATATTTCTTAATTCATAGAGGGTCAAAATGAATGTAAGGTACTCATGGTCTGCAATATAACGTGTTCTTCATTGCTTTATGAACTGTTGTTTGTTTCTCATTTCTTCTTTGTTCTTCTGCTGTCACCCTTTCTCCATGTTCCTTGATTAAGGTTCGTAGATATGGAGCCTTTTATAACTAAATAAGTTCTAATCACTGACCCATAACCGTGGTAAGAGAAAACAAAATGAATCTATTTAAACTTGACAAAAAGGGACTGAATTTTCTACATGTTTATGAAAATAAATTAGTCATTCTACTTCAATACTTTACCTGACTTTTTCTTTTACTATTTCTTTATCGCCTTTCTAAGCAAGTTTTGATCTCTGTCTTTCTAAAATAGGAAGTAAAATTCAGCTCCTCCTTGTAGAGAAATAATACATGATAATTAACGGATATTCAAAGTTTCTATAATTACCTTTAGAAAAACAAGGGCATGTAACTCGAATGTCCCTGTTAGACTTTAATTCTTTATTAATTTGTGGACATTTGTACATAATTGATTTAAATTACTTGATACTCCATATGGAGATGATTCTATTTACAGAAGACCTATACACAAAAAAAGAAATAAATATTAGTGCATAGCTACAATGTTATTAAAATGTTAATTTGACTCGGGTCGTTGTTTTTTTTTTCGTTTGAATTGTTTCACATTTTGTCTTGTCTCTTATATCTAAATAAGTTCTCATCACTGATCCGTAACCATGGTAAGGAAAAACAAAAATGAAACTAATTAAACTTGACTAAAAGGGACTGAATTTTATACAAGTTTGTGAAAAAAAAATTATTCTATTTCATTACTATACCTGACTTTTTCTTTTACTATTTCTTTATCGCGCCTTTCTTATAAGCAAGTTTTATCCTCTGTCTTCATATAATAGGAAGTAAAGTTCAGCTCCTACTTGAACGGAAATAATATATGATAATTATTTTTAAGATTAATGAACGGTTATTTAAAGTTTTAAATAAACAAGAGCAGGTAACTCGAATTTCCCTGTGTGGCTTTAGTTCTTTACATATGGTAGAAAAAGTTACCATGCACTGAGAATTTCCGTCCTTTTATCTAAGTATAGAAGCATTTTATTGAATCGATAATATATATGATCTTAGATTTCTTCTTTTCATGAGCTTACATAACTCTATACATAGACTTTTCAGATGCACGTGAAGTCGTCATTGATAAAGAGAGTATTGGAAAGAATTTTATGAACAATATATTTAAACGTACAGAGACGATTGACTTGCGGAAAATGTCGGAACCTAAACTTTAACCAAAAAATTGAACTTCTGGCGAAATAAAAATAACAAAAACAAAAACGAAGAGAATCTTCAGACATGGCATCTGAACAAATACCAGAAAAGGAAAATCACTTTTAAGTTTTGTTTCTTTCGATGAGCTTTTCTGGATTAACTTCACCAGAAACGCTAAAACCTAAATTTTGAAAGCTCGATTATGTAAATACGTAGAACCGTTAGGAGCTGTATGGTTTGAAAATGAAAAAATAAAAATCAGTGAGTGAAGCAGTTATAGAAGACAACTACATCCGAATTGAAGGCATCCAGTTTTGGGTTAGGTTTTATTCATATAAGAAAATAACCGAATGAACTTCCATCGGTATTCATTTGCCAAATTATTTCAAATTTATCATGACACAATAAAACAAAACAAAAAGTATTTACAAAGTGGAATAAAATATGAAAATACAATGTCTCGGAATTCTTTTAATAGTCAGTATGGTTAGTACCAAATGTGTGCACTAGACACCAACTGTTTTATTCACTTACCTTCTATAAACACAATTTGTTTGTTTTACTTTTAAATTGAACCTATTTATTTAGAAATAAACATGCCCCTTCCCCTCTACCTCCCAATCCCCCTCCCAAAAAAAATATAAAAAATTGAAAGATGAATATTATAGTCGGTATATTGTCCAAATTGAGTAACGACACTAATTGTTAGTATGATGTTCATATGCCATCTTTGAAAAGTATAAGGATTGACATGCTATCAATATAACCATTTAGTTAGTTTTTACAGTATATAGAATATGAATTAACAAATAAAATTAATATAAAAAAGAAGATGTGGTAGTATTGCCAATGGTTGAACTCTCCACAAGAGATCAAATGACACGTAAATTAACAACTACTATATGTCACCGTACGGCATTCAACAAAGCTCAAACCGCATAGTCAGCTATAAAAGGCCCTGAAATGACAATGTAAAACAAATCTGTTGAATTCAAACGAGAAAACTAACGGCCTAACTTATGTAAAAAGTATATATTAAAATGTTGAATGATTGAATGTTGTTTGCTTTACGTCCAGTGACAAATATTTCATACATGTTCAGGACTAGATCAATTTTACAATAAAACTAGAGGCTCTCAAGAGCCTGTGTCGCTCACCTGTATTTACTAATGCTTTGGAAATCATATAAAATAAGGTTAAAATCATAATTAATAGTATTAGATATTAGATATTATAATGATATCTAAGATAATAACAAAAAACTGCAAAATTTTTGAAAAATTACTAACTCAGGGGCAGCAACCCAACAACGGGTTGTCGGATTCGTCTGAAAATTTCAGGGCAGATAAATCTAAATCTGAAGAACATTTTTGCTACCTGTCAGATTTGCTCTAAATGCTTTAGTTTCAGAGATATAAACCAAAAACTGCATTTTACCCCTATGTTCTATTTTTAACCAAGTTGGCCATGATGGTTGGAAGGCGGTGTCATCGGACAAATTTTTTAAACTAGATACCCTAATAATGATTATGGCCAAGTATGGTTAAATTTGTCTCAGTAGTTTCAGAGAAGAAGATTTTTGTAAAAGATTACAAAAATTTACGAAAAATGGTTAAAAATTGACTATAAAGGGCAATAACTCCTTAAGGGGTCAACTGACCATTTTGGTCAAGTTGACTTATTTGTAGATCTTACTTTGCTGAACATTATTGCTGTTTACAGTTTATCTCTATCTATAATAATATTCAAGATAATAACCAAAAACGGCAAAATTTCCTTAAAATTACCAATTCAGGGGCAGCAACCCAACAACAGGTTGTCAGATTTGTCTGAAAATTTCAAGGCAGATAGATCTTGACCTGATAATTAGTTTTACCCTGTCAGATTTACTCTAAATGCTTTGGTTTCAGAGATATAAGCCAAAATCTACAGTTTACCCCTATGTTCTATTTTTAGCCATGGCAGCCATCTTAGTTGGTTGGCGGGGTCATCGGACACATTTTTTAAACTAGATACCCTAATGATGATTGTGGCCAAGTTTGGGTGCATTTGGCCCAGTAGTTCAGGGGAGAAGATTTTTGTAAAAGTTTACGGACGACGGACGACGGACGCAGGACGACGGACGACGGACGCAAAGTGATGAGAAAAGCTCACTTGACCTTTCAGGTCAGGTGAGCTAAAAATTAATGTAGGTCCTGATGGGCGATGAATTTGGAAATGCCACTGATGGTAAAGTGAAAAGGTACATCAGTTAAGCCTTGCAACAGGCCTCCTACAGACCCCTCAAAAATTGAGTTGCTGGAAGGGTTTTTAACATGCTGAGAGCGTGGCACTTTTTGTACACAAGACATCGGATTTAATATCCCCATTCTGGCTGCAAATTTATAATTTCATCCCGAACAGCCAAAAGAACTTTCCACATTGGCAAGGGTTTTACTGTTGCTCGAAAGAAGGCAATTGGATGACTTTTTATACCAAAGTAAATACAGTTTGAACTTTTTCTCTAAAGAGCCTATGTCGCTTTTCTGAATCTATATGAATCTTCAACAATGACCGCACGTTATAGATTAGCATATATATAATTCTTGACTAAACTGTTCTTTTCTGCCGGTCAGTTTTGTTATTACAGTTTCTCTCTTCCTAAGTTTTGCCAAATATTCGAAAAATGTGTACTAAAATTTCATTTAACGGCAATAACTTATCAAAAGAGTCGACTAATAATACATGTATATTTTTTTTGTCTACTAGTAAATCTTTTCTTGCTGATCAATTTTGTTATTGAAAGTTTCTCTCTTTCTTTGATAGTTCTCAAGATAAAAGACAAAAACGGAGGAAAAAATTGTTAAAATTTGTCTTTAAAGATCAATAATTCCTAAGGAATTGAATAACCATCTCGGTTTGTTTAAATTACTTGTAGTTTTTTTGCTTTCCATAGTTTCCTATTATGGTTTTCAAGATAAAAGGCAAATACACAAAAAGAATGGTAAACATCGTCATTTATGTAGATCTCATCATTTTGAATGCATGATATCTGCTTTGTAAGATTTTATCTAACTATAATGGTTAACAAGAGGACAAACAATACTAGCATTTCCCCCCTTCTGTTCTATTTTTTAGACTTGGTGGCCATTTTTTGTTGACAGGCTGGGTCACCGGACACATCTCCATACTAGATACCCAATAGTAGCCAATATAACAATAAGGATATGTGGTATGATTGCCCATGAGACAACTATCCACCAAATGACTTAAATGGTTAATAACTATAAGTCACATTACGGCCTTCAACTATAAGCAAACCCCACATCGCATAGCAAGCGACAAAAGATACCGAAATGACAAATGTAAAACAATTCAAAAAGGAAAACTTGCGGTCTACTTTATGTACAAAACAATAAATGAAAAACAAATAAAATATATAGGTACAAACGGCAACCATTAAATTACATGCTCCTGCCACTGTTTAGTTTTATTTGGCCCATTTGTTTTATAGTAGATTTTTGTAAAACGCGATGCACAACAGATGACGGACGCCAAGTGATAGCAATAGGTTACACTGGGCATTTGAGCCCATTCGTCACAACTCGGCCGATTCCGAACTTTCATCTAACGGATAGAAGACGAGTAACGGATTCACCCGAGGATTGCCGATTGCTTTGCGCCAGATGAAGTGAAAAAGAAGAAGTTGTATGGTGCGTCTATTACACAACAACCAAATACAAATACACAAAATAGAAATTAGCGCGCCTTAGTTGAATCAAACCATAGACAAACTTCTCAATGTAACATATTGATTTGGTTTGATTATTTCGAAGTGAACCTTAGTTTGTTTATATAGCAATTAAAAAAGATTTGCAACACCTAAATTTACAACATATCACAAGTACCTTAAATAGTATATGAATGGGGGGATAAGACTGTTGGCCTGATTCTTGAAAACAATTTTAATACAAAAATAGCTTTTACGCTCGTACTTAAGGTTGATGAAAGCGATCGGTATTATTTTACATATACTGAGATCTTCACTAAAAAGGATCATATGCACGAAAGATCAATCGGATAAATGAAATATGAACTACGTCGACAGTGTTGGCGTAACCTGCTATACGTGCGATGTGGGTTTTGCTCATTGTTGAAGTCCATACAATGACATATAGCTGTTAACTTCTATGCCATTTGGTTTCTGGGGGAGATTTTCTCATTGGCAATTATACCACATTTTCTTATTCTTATATCAAGCATATTCAAATTAAACAAAATTTTCACAATGAAAGATTTGCAAAACATTTTACTTGATAAAAGTTCACTATATCATTATAAAGAAATAGATATGTGGTGTAATTGCCAATCAAAGATAAGATTCCAAATAAAGTAGATTTTAACATCTTTTATTATATTACATTCACTATAAAAATGTTTATCTATAGATATTTTATTGTTGCTATTTGCTTGCAGCCAATGTTTCCACAACGGAAATAGGGTAAAAAACGTCATAAAATCGGCATCAGGAACTACTTAATTATAATTTCTTTAACTAGAACTTCCTTTACCAATATGTACCATTTGATCCCTGCCTGTGCTGCCAAATTGACACCCTGTGCGAGTTTTCAAACCTCAAGAGCTCAGTGAATGATATAAACTTTTATAATATTTGTTTAATTCATTTTCAACTGTTATTGGCTTTTCATGCGCTTTACGCATTGGATGAACACTAAGCTAATGTTGAAGACTTTAATCTTGCAATAGATTCACAAAGTATATCGGGGTTTTTCTTATTTCCTGTATTGTTAAGTTGTTGTCTCAATTTTTGTTTACCCCACTAACATAGTTTTCATATCTTGACACCAGGATATTTATTACATGTATATGGCTGTATTGTAACAAAAAGTCATGTGGATGATATTGAGTCAATGACACCACCAGATTTGGTTCGTACTCCTATTGCTATATAGTTTGAGTCAACTTTACATTAAACATATTGAATTTAATATACGTTAACATGTGTTGTAAAATGTTGTTTGTCAATAAAATTATCATAAATACAAGGATTAGACTTGGGTACGTCTGCTGCGCGTTTCGTCTGTAAAAGACTCACCAGTGACACTCGAATAAAAAAGATATAAAATACGAGGTCGAAGAGCATTGGTTGAACACTATTTCCATTAGTAATCAGATGTTAGGCCGTGTTCACACCAAACGTCGCGTACTGTAAACCCGTTTACAATTAGTTTCATGTAGTGAACACTAGTTTCACATTAAATTTGTTCTCATCTGTACATCGGTTTTAATTACCTGTACATGAAAATTGTTCACATCAGTAAACAACATGTACACATAATTTACATGTACAAATATATTTGTTCCAGGAGGGAAGTGAGAAAATTGTTTGGTTTGTTGAAAATGAAAAGCGCGGGGATTCAACATGGAGTTTTAAAAATGTTCCTGTATATTATTGAAAAACATAGGTTGTTTTTTTGTATTTAAGTAATAAGAAAATGGTTTGTTCCACGAAAATGAAGAGTCGGTCACTCATCGTACCTTCAGAAAATCGTTCTATTAATTAGGAGAACGGTTACGTTTGCTCAAACAGTGCAACCTTATGCGAAAAAACGATTTTGAAAGTGATTGATTGTTGATTACTAAACATCCAGTGGCAAATAGTTCATGCATGTTCAGGGCGAGAACAAATTCACAATAAAAACAATAGGTAGTTCCTGTAGTAGAGGCCGTCCGAGATGAAGATGGACGTGGCTAAGTACGTGTACATCCCGCACAGCCAAACGGAAGCATTACTTTGGTAAGGGTTTTACGGCCGATCGGTCGAAGATGCAAGTGACCATATTTCTATTCCCCAGTCACACATGGAGTGATTTTGGGAATGAATAATCTGGACTGGTACTAACTGTCAAAATAACGTTGTCCACAACATGATGAAAATGAATATTTTGTCCTTCAGAATGCAGGACTTTGCAAGAAAAAGTTATGTACAAAAAGTGAAAATAATTTCGGGCAAAATAAATTAGACGTACTATTAACCGGGGTAAAATTAATATTCTATCAGCAAAAAAATCCCCCTCCCACAAAAAAAATCAAATGGTCCACTAAGAATATTAACTTTAATCATGTTTTTAAAAGAACATATTTTTAGTTTTTTCACATATAAATAGAAGAATAACTTTATTCATAGTATCCTATGTATTCAATATATGTAATACTAACTTCCTTCAATATTCACAATAAAATCCACATTCTCAATATCTTGTTAAATGAACACTTAACCCACACAAGGTCTACATTGGCTACCGACTGTGTGTAGTCAAAACCTGTTTTAAACTACATGTAAACATTGATTTTTATCAATGGGAACGTAATTGAGTTTAGTTTAAGTGTAGAGTACACTTACACCACACCAAGTTTAGCTCAATGTGAACACGGCCTTAGTTTGTTGTACGGTACATGTATGAACTTGTACCTGTTGTATTTTTGTTAATTCTTGTTCTCCTTTTTATATATATAAGGTAATTCCTGTCAACTTATATATCAAAAGTTGAAGTGACGATTACGTGTGAAAATTAGATGACCGCTGTCCGGTTCAGATAGATTAATGCTGAAAAAAGTTAAATTATAAAGAGAAAATGTTTTGGAGAGTCTGAAAGTGACCGTTAGAGGCAGGTGAGTGTTGAAACGAGGTGATCGTTAAGTAGGTTTGGCTGTATACAGAAAGGAATTGTTACCTTATTTAAAAGAGAGAAAAAATATTCATCTATTTTTATAACGTTTACAGTTCCATCATTTTTTCATAACAAGTGAAACATAGGGATTAAAAACTAATCTATATTGTCACAAATAAAATATGATTAACCAATTTATTCTTCCAAATTAGAAATAAACAAAAGCTTTGTTCTTCCAAATGAGAAATAAACAAACGCTTTGTTCTTCCAAATGATAAATAAACAATAGCTTCATTCTTCCAAATGAGAAATAAACAACAGCTTTATTCTTCCAAATGAGAAACAAATAAACAAAAGCTTTATTCTTCCAAATGAGAAATAAACAAAACTTTTATTCTTCCAAATAAGAAATAAACAACTGCACAATTCTTCCTAATGAAAAACAAGTAATCGCTTTATTCTTCCCAATGAGAAATGAATGATATTCAAATCATTCTTCTAAAAGAGAAATGAAAAACCTCTTCATTCTTTAAGATAAGAAAAATAAATCACTTGATAGATAAAGATAAAAGAATAGTGGGTTTATTCATCGATACTACATATTAATAATCACAGGTTGAGATGCTAAAGTCATGTATGAAACCTTTATAAAGTTGATAGATATAAGAAGGTGTGACATGAGTGCAAATGAGACAACTCTCCCCCAAGTCACAATTTGTAAAATTAAACCATTATAGGTCAACGTACGGCCTTCAACACGGAATTTTGGCTCACATCAAACAGAAAACAATAAAGGGCCCCAAAATGACTTGTGTAAAACCATACAAATAGGAAAACCAACGATCTAATCTATATCAAAAACGAGAAACGAGAAATACCAATGAGCAACATGTTCCTGACTAAGGACAGGTGCAAACAAATGCTGCGGATTTAAATCTTTTAACAGGCGCCAACCTTCACCCAACCTGAAACAAAAGTGTTACATCACAATATAGAAAGACAAACTATAAAATACCAATTGAAATGGCTTATCTTAATCAAAAGACATATAAATAAAACCAAGTAAACATACACTGAACGAATATATTAGATCTGTTTTGTCTAATTGAATAACTATGTTTTGTGTTCTGCTATTGAATTATTGTCTGCTCGTACTCTAATTTGCCTTTATACATTCATATTTTATTTTTCTGTATACAGTTATCTTACCCACTAGACCTCTCGTCAGAACTTCGGCACCGAACAGCACAAAATGCGAAGAAATACTGTGATTAAAAACGATACGAATAAACGTGCACTGGAAGGTTAAAGGTGTTAATTAAATTCTGAAATTATAATTCAATACACCAAATCATTGAATAACTGCTATGGCAAAGTTTAATAAACAAATGGGAACGCATGGAATATTTAAAAACTATATAGCATCGCTCTATCAGCTCACTTTTTTTTCACGTGCTTTATGATTCTGAGTTGATTGTTTATCAATGTTACATTCCGGTAAACTTCGGCAACATAACCGAATATAAACAGTTTGCGATCAACAATCACTGAATGAAATATATTTTGTCAATTATACGTTATTGGTTCGTAATAATTTTTTAAAATCGAGTATGCATACAATAATTCAATAATTTTCTCAATAGTATAACTACTATATAAACTCGTTTCATATAACTTTACACATTTTCCATGGACAAACTTGTTATATAAATACTCATTTATTTACAATGGAAATTACTTTCGAAAATTAACTGAAATAGGTCAATCGCAGTGTGTATATAGTATACAATAGCTTCAAATTTTTATTCACTAATATAGTTCAAACTGACTTTCACAAATTTCACCCGTTTTCATATTCTTTGCTCTGAATAAGAGTTCAGCTCCACCAAATATCATTGTTTCTTCAATTTCAAGAGTCTCTCCTTTTTTGAGGGGAGGTATTGGGACAACGAGATTCCCGAGGCGTTGGCAACTGGGATCTGTGACATATCTAGGATTAGTGTCATCGGATATGTATACTGTACACTCAAGGGTTTTTTCGTCTGTTTTTAACGCCTGAAATATTTGTCCAGAAGAATGTCCGTCTTCTACTTTTTCACCTTTGACAGCAAATTTATAAAAGACATCTTTACAACGATCGACTCCATCAATTCGCACTCTTTTGGTTTCCGGGTGTAATTCAGCGTCCCATTCAGGCCAGCTTTGTATTCCGTAAGTCTTCCTCAATATTCGTTTTCCTATTTTCTTTGGTTGATGTCCGAATAAAACGGCACCTCTTAAAACTGCTAGTCCAGCCTCGTCGGGAATAATGATTTTCCTATTTGGAAATTTATTCCTCATTGCCGTTTGAACAAGCTCACATTCGGAAAATCCCCCTACCATTATGATATGATGGAGGTCGTAGAGATTTGGATCCTTAAAGAGTTTGTCTAGATGTTTGAATAAGGCATCTATAGTTGGTTTAAAGAGTTTTCTAAATACTTCAGGATTGACAAAAAGTTTCTGAGGCGTGGAAAAAGAAACTGATTCTTATAAGATGATTGCGTGATGGCAGACTGCACCGATTTACAGTGTTTCACCGTTATCTCAACCAAAGAGTAGGGCAATGTAATGACTATATCCGTCTTTAACTCTGACGTTATTGACCGCTTTTTTACTTCAAATTCATGGCACAAGGTAGTGTAGTCTTCCAATTCGTCGGATTTAAGTTCTTTGATGACTTTAGTAGTAAAAACGGAGTGCAGAAATTCTATATAAGCCTGGTCAATAGCCGTTCCTCCCCAGTTTCCTCCACTTGGTGGGAGCACCTCCTCTAAGGAATCATCTAGCAGACGTTCATGTCAGCTGTACCGCCTAAAACAGTCCGATATTGAGAAATAAATGAAACATGAAAGAAAGGATTTTAATTTAGTCAAGACAGTAGCCAAGTTAATTCAAAAGCATAAAAAATTGTAAGTTTTATTTAGGTGAAGCATGTCAATATCACATTCAAAAATAAAGCAATAACAGCATGTTTAACTATTTTATCTCATTCGTCATATTTCAAATATGATTTGGTCCTTGTTTTGCTATGAAAAACTTCAAAAACGATCAGTTTAAAAAATATAACAGAGGTAAACAATGTCATAAAGTATTGAGATTTTCTTAAAATTTGAAGAAACTCCAATAAATGGCTATAGAGATATATAATAAACGGACAGATGAATGAACAAATAAAGATCCATATGTACCTTCACTTTGCTAGTGGGATGGATGGATTTGTTCTTAATGTCCAGTGGCAAATATTACTTGAATATTAGGGCAAGAACATGCTAATATGATATGAATAAAAAAAAACCTGCATTGTACTTAACCTACAAGCTTATCCGAATTTTGTATCGTGATAGTACACCAGGTAACAGTTACATGTAGCACCAAACATACCTCTCCACCAGGAGCCATAACTCTGACTCCGAGGCTTACAGTTATTGCTCTATCTCAAAAATGTGCCATGCTTTGCGAAGAAGCAGCAAATACCATTTTTTTGTCTTTGGTTGAATTGGCTGGTGATTGAACCCACAGTACTGAGGCGGTTCATTGCTAGTGTATTTTTCACAGATAAATTAAACCATCGGTGCAGTGTTCTCACATGTAAATAAGTTGATTTTGGAGGTTTTTAAAAATGCCAATATAAAAGTATCTTATTTGTGCAACTAAGATTTGATAGATGGATGGATGGATGTTTAACGTCCATTGGCAAATTAAATACATATTCAGGACGAAAACATGATAATGTGATACGAAGATAAACTCTGCTTTGTACAAGACCGACAGGCTGAGCCGGATTTTTGACGTGCTTGTTCACAAGTTGACAGTCCGCAGGACTGCTCTTACTCCTAAGTGTCGTATGCTCAGCGGAAAAGTTCAAGTCTTTGGATTGATTTGACCAGTGCCAGCTAACATTGGTGCTAAATGACTAAACAAATCAGATATAAACGACGACCGGTTGTTATTTGCCATTTTATTGTCCATTTTTAAAAATATGATATCTAATAAATGAATAAGTATAGCATTTTTAACAAACCTCCTAGATCTACTACTACATATTTAGTGCCTTTCTTGATTGTTTCGGAAAAGGTTTTGTTTGAATTGCCATCCCTGTTTGTCCGCAATTCCTGGCAATAAATGGAAGCTGTTTCTGGTTCCAAAGCTATAGTCAAATCTTTGCCTTTTATTCCTGCCTACAAAAATAATACTGGCGTTGGTTGGTTTTAAATGAATAATAATAAATAAACACTAGAAAGTATGGACCTTACATCTTTTGAAAGGAGGATCAGCATGGGATTTTTTGTTGGATTATTTGATTCTAAATTTCTTCAAAAAAGATATTTGTTTCAGAAGAGAAAGAAAAAATACTTTATTTCTTTTGAAAATTAGTTTCAGAATAAAAATGTAACATTTTATAAGTTACAGTACACAAATTGTTTCGGTCAAAAACCAACTTTGATTGTATTGAGTAATTTGTAGTGTAAAATGATAATGTTCTTCCTGTCGACTATGTTTACTACATTTTTGCATTGACCAAGGTCATGCGTTTCGCAGACTGTGTGACGTTTTCACACTAAATCCGTTGGATATGTACTTATTGATACATAAGTCTGGAAGATTATGTTTATTTATTAGTTGCAATAGGCTTTGAACTGGCTTTCCTTACCTGCGAGTACTTGTATATCGGTGCTTAGTGACGATTGTTTTTGTGTATACCCAAGCCACATTATTTATGTGCCTGTTCAGGAGCATGGAATTCAGTAGCTGTCGTTGGTTCATGTCTGTTATACTATTGTTTTTTTCGTAAATTGAATTTTTATAAAGTATGCCTTTAGTTTTCTCGTCTGAATTATTTCACATTTTTCCTGTCGTGGACTTTTATTGCGTAATGGGTTTTTCTCATTGTTGAAGGCTGTTCGGTGGCCTTTATTTGCTTACATTCACGTTATTTGAACTCTGGTAGATAGTTGTCTCATTGGTAATCATACTAAATTTCCTTTTTTTTCATATTATTTAAGTTCAAGACCTGATGAGTGTAAGATGTCGGTCCGAGTTTCGGCAATGGTTACACGTTACCTTTTCCACCTGTATCCGGCGCATGCATAAATGGTGTAGAAGGGCATTGATTATTCGATATCCTTATCACACCTCAACTTTATAGTTTGCTATATTTTGGTCTTATTTTTTTATGTGGTGTAGTCTTTACAAAATTACACGAATTACGCACCATTCTCAATTTTATTCCTGAATAAATTTGGCAAACGATAATTAGTACGCAATTTGCGCATCCAATTAAACTATGACGTGCGCGGGATAATCTGCATTATGGTAGCGTTGGTTTGCAGATGTAAGCCAACTTGTCATTTTTGTAGGCGAGATAACCAACATAAGGAACATGGTCCTTTGAACCCAAGGAATTGTATTTCTTTATATACAAATAGTTTTGTAGACAGAGAAACTAGCTTAACTCTCACATATGCACGTACCTGTCCAAAGTCTGTGATAGTTAATATGTAATTCCTTCGCAACATTTTTTACACTTCAGATGATTAAGATCTTGACATATCGTTTATAGTAGAAGAAATTCATGTTTACCTCTAAATGTAATTTGGTTACTAGTGTCATTGGATCATTGGATCCTTGAAGTAATGTGACCTCACACCTGTTATATATAAGTAACCCGTACCTTTTCAGCAGCTTTTCTCATAAATATTTTTGCCTGATCGTCCCATATGGCCGGAACAGTAAGAACGTAGTGAATATCATTTTTTTCCACATTCTTAAGTGTTTTGACTAGCCTTCCAATGGCTTGGTCTTTCAGGTATTTGATTGCAAAGGAAAATATGTCAAATGTCTTCATTTGCAAACCGTTCTGGTCTCTAATTGTCGTGTCTAAATTCACCGTCTGTAAAAAATTATATATACGTTATAAGCAACAAGTGTTGCACAAAAAGCTGTTAACCTTAACGGAGTGTACAATCATTAGTGATCGTAAATCGTACGACGTTTTTTTTGTTTTTTTTTTTGTTTTTTTAAGCGACAGCTTGCGGTGCTTCTATTCGGCAGTCAGGCACCTATATTTTTTCCGGAATTACCATTATTTGCTGTAAAAGTGCACATTACTTTAGCAGCTGAAAGAGCAATTTGTTTTGAGACCAAGGAGAGTACAGCAAACCAATGACACAAATAAATTGGAAATAAATCTATGATAATTGAATCCTATCAACCAAGGAATATTTGAATTTAGCTTTTTATGTTTAGTTTGAGGTAAATGTTAAATTTTTACCGTGCAGCAGTTTCTGACGTTTAAAAAATAAGCATACGCAACAACGTAATTGCACAGCTTGACACACAGAATCGATTTTTTACCTGTACGGTGTATCCTGCAACCAACTTACTATAATATTTGTTTACTTTATATGCACTTGTACAAATAAAGTCTCCAGTTAACCCCTCTCCATGTCGAGCACGCGGTCATGTGAGTATTTCCTTTTGCTCGGCAGTTCAGTTTGGGGTCCTCTACGCGGTCCGCATTAAACCTTTGTCGATTTCTTTAAAAAAATCCGAGACAACTATTTGGATTTAAACAACTAAAGGTTAAAGTGTCGGGTTTAAACTGCAGGATGAAAGCAATATATGTACATGGTCGGAAATACAAGCCTCGCCTTTTGTCCTATTTCTAAAATTCGTACAAATACATTTTATATTTTCCGACAATGTACATATATTGTATATTTACCAAGACTTCACTTGTTATTATGACTACGATATTGCACCATAAAAATAAGTAAATTATCTTTAAAGTTATAAAATGATACCTGATTATGCAACATCATTTTAAATCGATTAAAGTAATGATACACATCTTTAGGACCACTATCCTCGTCATCAGAATCAGAATCACCATTTTCGAGGCTGTCAAGTTATTTAGTTTCGGCTTCAAATCCAAAAGCCACAAAGTTTCTTTCTTTGTCGAGAAGAATGGACGTTGGAGCTTTCATGGACACCAAAGTACTCTTTTGCCAACTGCATGTGAATATGTCGTTTGGCGTACTTTTAGCTGAAAATGCATACCCTGAATAAGTAGTTCCAAAATCAATTGCCGCCACAAATAATTTCGCTGCATCAATGGCCTCACTGTAAAAAGATTAAAATGATTAAAAATAAGAATGATGTGACATAAGTTAAGGATTTTTTTTTTTTTTTTATTATTTTTTTTCATTTATATGTTTCGGAATTTAGTGTGACGTTCATTTGCACTGAACTACTACACATTTGTGTTTAGGGGCCAGCTGAAGCCCGCCTCCGGGTTCGGGATTTTTTCGTTGTGTTGGAGACCCATTGGTGGCCTTGGGCTGTTTTCTGCTCTTTGGTCGGGTTGTTGTCTCTTTGGCACATTCCCCATTTCCATTCTCCATTTTATTTGTCCATCACATTGCGGAAATGAATTTTGTAATTTCTACGATGCAAATATTATTATAATGGCTGTCGGTTTGCAACTCCTGTCCCTTTACCGGACATTACTATTGTGCACACTTAATGTGATTAAAATTTTACATTTTCGCAAAATAGTTATTTTCCCTGGTGCGTATTATTGTTCAACCACCGTATGGAGGTAAAATGGAAATAATTTACAATAGAAAGACCGAAAAATGTCTGTCATGACATTTGAAACTGAATAAGATATTATCGACGAAAACACTAAATCTATATTTCTGAAACTGTTCAAACAAAATGATATATTCCATAAATCTTTCAAAATGAATTATAAAAAAATACAGATTTTTCGAATAACGAGTGTATCATTTCGGGGCCTTTTATATCAAACTATGCGGTATGGGCTTTGCTCATTGTTGAAGCCGTATGGTGACCTATAGTTGTTAATTTCTGTGTCATTTGGTCTCTTGTGAAGAGTTGTCTCATTGGCAATCATACCACATCTTCTTTTTTATATCAACATTCAATTTCAAAATTTAAACTTTCAGCTTACAAAATGTTCACCATTATTGTTTCAACAGTTAATATTAAACTATGAACATTCGATGTTCAACATTCTAAATTTTATTTCAACGTTTATCAATAAGATTTTCAACATTCAACTTTCGATTTTCAACATGCAACATTAAATTTCAACTTTAAAATATTCAACATTCTATTTCCAACATTCAATTAATTTTCAGCATTTAATTCAACATTCAGTTTTCATCATTCAACATTCAGTTTTCATCATTCAACATGCAATGTTAAAATTTAAAATTTTCGATTTCCAACATTCTTCATTCTATTTCTAACTTTAAACTTTCACCATTGACCTTTTTACTACTTTAGATTTTAAATATTCAACCTTTAATTTTCAATAATCAGCGTTAGGATTTTAATAATTAACCTTTAATTTTCAACATTCAAAGTTCGATTTGAAAAATTGAAAAAGAACTGGCCTTTGTAAGTCTTGTATGTTTTTTTTCTATTTCAGTTCATTTATATGTTTTGGAGTTTAGTATGACGTCCATTTTTACTGAACTAGTACACATTTTTATTTAGGGACCAGCTGAGGCCCGCCTCCGGGTGCAGGATTTTCTCGCTGCCTTGAAGACCCATTGGTGACCTTCGGCTGTTGTCTGCTTTTTGGTCGGGTTGTTCTCTCTTTGACATATTTCCCATTTCCAATCTAAATTTTAGTATCTACAAAATACAATCTTTGAATGTAGCTCATAACAATGATTTACATCTTAGCAGGATTAACTTACCCAGATTGCGTACCTAGTCTCTCTCAGTATGGATTTATGTTATTACCTCAGATTTTTTACTCTTGATCTGCATATAAGTAAAAATGAAATTACTTGTTTGGACCATCAGAAAGCTTCCTTTTTACCATAGAACAACATAAACCTACCTGCGTATTAGTTTATGCTGATGACCGTATAAATGCTGATGACCGTATAACACGGCTCCTTTAAGAACTACAAGGCCAGCTTCGTCAGGAATGATTATTTTCTTTTTAGGAAATTTATCTTTCGTTGCTCTTTGTACAAGTTCACATTCTGAAAATCCGCCAACCATTATGATATCTTGTATGTCTGAAACTTTCGGATGATGGAAAAGTTGGTCAAGTTATTTTAATAATTCGTCGATAGTAGGCTTAAACAGTTCTCTAAACTTTTGTTGGTTTATAAAGAATTTTTGACCACTGACGAAAATGGAACCACCATATTTGGATTTCATTATAGCTGCATCTATTCCTCCGCAGTGTCTCTTGATGATATCCAAAAGACCGACAGGCATTGTAATAACTATGTCTGAAGTCGTATCTGATTTGATCAATCGTTTTTTAACTTCAAATTCATGCATAAGTGCAGTGTAGTCCTCCAATTCTGTTAGCTTTAGGTCCTTCATTACTGTTGTACCTAATACATTTTCCAAAAATAGTAGAAACACATCATCAACAGCAATACCACCCCAAGCTCCACCACTTGGCGGAACAACTTCCTCCAGAATATCATCTGGCTGTCGTTGGTGGACTGCTATATCTGATGTTCCACCTAAATTAAAAAAAAAGAATCTGTAAGAAGCAAAACATCCCAAAACAAGGACATTACTGAGGTAAACATCAATGAAAAAGCATCCAAACAATAGAAATAAACAAAATACAACCAGAGAGCAACATGGCCAAGCTCGAAATCGTCATCAGTATAAAAATTTGCAAACAGAAGAGTAGCAAATTCCAAAAGCACGAGCTTTTGTCTGTCATGTGAAGTTATGTGCCATGTGATGTTAAGCTGCTGTCTTTAAGAGATTTGCATCAATATCTTTGACTTGCGATGTTTGATGTCCATAAATATTTTAAAATCTTATAGGATCCTACATTTGCTCCTTGCGACTGTCAAATTTGTTTTCGGGCTATTACTATATACTCCCACCACGTGAATAACTGTTTTCCATCCTCCTATACAAGTAAAATTTGACTTTGGATTTTTAACATGACCTTTTAGAATGTTTTCAATATTTAGTTTTAGATATAAACAACAAACCAGTGGATAAATAAGAGGACAACAGTAATAAAAGTAAATATGTCAGTGTTAAGCATGAAAAACCTTTTTAACCTCATCGAAATATTTGTGAATTTTGTGAGATTGTATTGATAAATTTTACATTCCCTTTAGTTTAAGAATTAATATAAGCAATGTTTTTACTGACAAGGGGAGCAAGTGCTGGATGTAGACATGCCATTGAAAGGACAGATGGTTGCAATTGCAACTTTTCATTCAAGTTCAAAGACTATTGTAAACATATCACAAAACAGAAAAGGAATATTTTCTCTTGGATGCATCTTCAAAGTCTGAAACCTTCGTTTCATTAATTCTACAAATCTTCAAAGTTTATTTGTTCAAAATTCCAAAAATCCCCCAATCCTAAAAGAGTTAGCTAATTCAATAAATCAGCAATGGCATTTGTTATTTATAACAAAAGTGGGAACAGAAAAGAAGATATTTTGGCTGTTACATACAAGAAGAAGATTCAATAATGTTTCGATTCAGTGTAGGATCTACTAAATATGATTTGTAATTACCTCCAAGGTCCACCACAACGTATTTCATGATTGTTTCTGAGAAAGTAATATTGTTTTTTATGTCTCGATCTATCTTCAATTCTTGACAATACACAGACGCTGCTTCTGGCTCCAGTGCAATTGTTAACTGGTTTCTTTTTATTCCTGCCTGTAAAATACATTCACAAAACATCTTTATCTCAAAGATTTGCATGTTCCTTCACAATACGCCACACAAATTGATAATAGTGTGCTGTTTAATTTTGGTGTATTGGTTTATTTAATCATTGGTGAGCTAGTGTTATGTATTGCTACATTAACTACTCGGTAGTTTTCGGGCACTTTTAAAGGGAAAAATGCACACATTTAAAAAAATACATCTTTAAATCTGGGTGTAAACTTTGAAGGAGGTAGACTAAAAGATTGTTAAATCTTTTAGCATGTTTAGGCAAGGTCACCTGAGATGAATTTGGCTATTCTTTATATAAAGGTCATTTTTTTCGTCTTATAGCTCTTCACAAGTTATGGTATTTCTACATCCTTGTCTTTCGTTTGTTTGGATTAAAGCGTTCCCGGTGGAGGAAAATCCAGAAAAGGGGCTTCGGAATTTACTACGTGTTATTTTCGTCTTTTACTAAAGTTATACAACTTAAAACTTATTTTTGAAAAAGTATATATAATATATACAACATTTTTGTTCATTTCATATCTGAACAAAACTTTTCAAAAATTCCCATAGAGAAACTGCAAACGTTTCCAATGGGAGCAAAGACATGAAATGTTCGACTACTGCACATGTGTTTGAAAATCAAATATATGTTTCTTTACATTCTATATCGTAAATGTTTATTGTGTAAATGTATATTGTGTAAATGTTTATTGTGTAAATGTTTATTGCGTACATGTTTATTGCGTAAATGTTTTTTGCATAAATGTGTAAATGTTTATTGCGTAAATGTTTATTGCGTAAATGTTTATTGTGTAAATGTTAATTGTGTAAATGTTTATTGTGTAAATGTTTATTGTGTAAATGTCTATTGTGTAAATGTTTATTACGTAAGGGGATCGCGATTATCTCATAACCATGTCGTAGTCAGTTTCTCTTCGACTTATTAGCGTTTATGTCACCTAGGTATCATCCGCCTTTACAAACTATAAATATCCGCTGAAAAGGGCTTAACTCATCAGTTCGATACAAAGCAGAAATACATCTAACAAAAACACAGAGTGGACGTGTCAGGGTACTTATACATCCCCACAATAAAACGACTCCAAGTACAGATCTGAGAGTACTCGCAGTTACTGACAACTAGTTTAAAGCCAATAACAACTAATAAAATATCATGCATCTAAAACTAAAATATCAATCAGTATACATCCAACATCCAATGGATTTAAGATCATTTTCATGAAAAGGGAACTTTTTGGTTTAAATTGTATCTTTAATTTGTAGAAATGATACATAAACAAATAAGTATAACCTCTTTCGCTGACTCTCTCATGAACAATTTGGCCTTGTCTTCCCATATAGCCGGAACAGTTATCACATAATGTATTTCTTCTGCACGAATGTCTCTACACGATTGTTTCAATTTTGCAATAATTTGTTCTTTGAGGTATTTAATGACAATAGTGAAAATATCAAAGGCTTTCATCTTTGTTCCTGACTCGTCTTTTATTAGAGAATCCATATCTACTGACTGAAATGAGTGAAAATAAATCTGAAACTTTCCATATTATAACAGCTAAAATGTGTCTCTATAGATACAATTATTTCTAATAGTTCATTTTGAGATTGACTACTGTACTTTGTTTCCAATTATTTTATATAAACATGTCAAATACTAATCCAGTAAAATTCAATATAATATATTTTTCAATAATCGAGTATATGTCAGTTCCTTCCTAGTCGGGTGTTTCGGGTCTCAATTTATGCCGACCAGGTCATTCACTCTCGTCAGGTTTTATAGCCTTGTGATTTTGTGTTAGCGAATGTAACTAATTAAGAAGGAGCAAGAACTATTATGCAGGAAAAACTTAGTTTCTGCTTATACAAAGCAAAACACACATGCATTATCAATAAGTGTAATATGGCAATACGTTTGACTGCGTAAGTGCATCACACATAACATGGTGACAAATGAAAATTCTTATTGATCAAGACATCCTCCTAACGTAAACGTTTAATTAACAGGGGACAGTTTGTTTTAACAGTATAGGTGGGTCTTTTTTTTTCTTTTTCCAAAAATTATAAATTTGAGAACAAATTCCAATCACAACACACTAGTATTACATACCTCTTTCCTCTTTGAGAAGTGGCAACTTGAATCTTCTGAAATAATACAGTACATCTTTTTCCTCCTCGCTGTCTTCATCGTCCGAATCGTGTTCAAGGCTCGTCCGATATACCATGTATCTGTTTTCAGCGTCATATTCGAAAGCTAGGAATTCTTTGTTTTGATTTAAAAGAACGGATGTTGGAGCTCTATAAGACTGCAAACCATGATTCTTCCATTCGCTCGTGTAAATAATGTTAGGTTCACTTTTAGTTGAAAATGCATATCCAGAATATGCAGTACCAATATCTATCGCCGCAACAAAATGTTTAGCAGCTTTCATTTTGTTACTATATAAAAATAAAAGGAGAAAAGCATGTATAATAGACGCTCGCCATTCAGTTCGTTTATCTCAGGGTTAATATAGATAATTGCATCGTAAGGAGTCCACTAAGCGTTATTTTTGTAGAAATTATACATTAAGCTCCTTCACTGCATCCATATTTTGGATATGAAACTAATAAATTGAATACGCAAAAACGAAAGTTGGTATGTTATTCTACTGGTTTTAGAGGACATATTGAGGTGACATGGCAATTTAAGAAGAGCAAAAAATACATTTGTATTCGTAGTGCCATCGATGTGCAAAATAGTAATTTAGCTAGACAAATATATAAATCATATAATAAATGATATCTAAATGCTTAATATATGATTTCAACATAATTTCTCTCAACTAAAATCAAAGTACTGAAGAACTGAACATCGGATGACCACAAGTTCTTGAGGATGGTCAAAAGCACTTGTCTCAGAAAAAAACAACATATCTCTTTACCTAAAACTGAGGTTAATGTACAGAGATATATTTTTTTCTGAGACAAGTTCGTGCGTGGATGATGACTTCAACTTCACCTTAATAACTATTATATTGTAGTGATACAAATCAGTATACACTGAGTTGTTGTTTATATTATATTAAAATAACAGTTACATATATATATGATTTGAATCCATTTGTATATCATTCTATTCTACTATTCTAAAAATAGTGCAATGCAAGTGCATGGTGGACACTTTTCTGTAAAAATTCGATTTTTCTAAGATTGGATACAAGTAGGCATTCATATTTTCCCGCAAAATCAATTACAGAGTTACCGGTCCTTGACGGTATTTTCACAAAATGTTCTTTGAGATATTCTTCCGCATGCTTTAAAACAATTTTTCGGTACGTGTGCATTGATATTATCAATGATTTTTTACTTATATATATATATCCAACTACAAAACATTTTCATATTATTAATTTATGTTGTAAACAAAAATATTTTTATCAGTATTCATTGAAGAGATGTATTTATATCAAACGATAAGGAATGTTATTTTGCACTCGTTTATGTGCGCGTATTTATCATGTTTATAGATCGGTTACAAACCCAAAACTAATTTACATAATGGAAATCTAGGCGATAGCAATACATCGGGATGACCTCAAGGTCATCGCGATGTAAAAATGCTTGCAAGGTTATGCATAACTATATCAGATCGAAAAATATATCAACTAAATAGTTGGCTGATGTACAGATACCCGATTAATGGTTATTGAAAACTTTATACTCTGTACCGATTTTTATTTGACGTTGTTTTATTCACTTTTTATTATTTCTTGGCCTTTATTCTACCTTATTTCATTTGGCGGCAATCTGTTCAATTTTGTTTTTCTGAAATTGTTTAACATATAATCCCTTATTTTATTGATTTTGTATTTACATTGTGTCATAGATCAAATTTATTCGTTCAGTGTATGTTCACTTGTGTTAATATGTCTTTTGATTGAGTTAAGCCATTTCAATTGATATTTTATAGTGTGTCTTTTTTATGTTGTGATGTTACACTATTGTTTCAGATATGGGCGAATGTTGGTACCTATTAAAACGTTTAAACTCGCTGCATTTGTTTGCACCTGTCCTAAGTCAGGAATCTGATGTTCAGTAGTTGTCGTTTGTTGATGTGGTTCATAAGTGTTTTTTATATATATTAGACCGTTGGTTTTCCCGTTTGAATGGTTTTACACATGTCATTTTTGGGCCCTTTATAGCTTGCTGTTCGGTGTGAGCCAAGGCTCTGTGTTGAAGACCGTACTTTGACCTATAATAGTTTTTCTTTTACAAATTGTGACTCGGATGGAGAGTTGTCTCATTGGCACTCATATCACATCTTCTTATATCTCTTTAGTTAGTCTATTAACATTTTGTTCTTTTATGCACTTTTTCTTATCTTATGCATCTGTTTTTATTTTATGGACTATTTGCTATCTTGTGGACCTTTGTTATTTTATGGATGTTCCGTTCTTTTTGTAAACCTTTTGATTTTTTATGTTGTTTTTAGTATGTAATGGATATTTTATTAATTTATGCATATTAGTTTGTTATTAAATAGATCTTAGTTAGGCATTTTATTGAACTTAAGGACGTACTCAGTCAGGTTTAGGAATTCTTGTCATATGTTCGGACAGCTTAGGGTTTTTCCTACGATACAGGATAAAATATTTTTCCCCATATCACCCACTTTTCTTTTCATAGAAGACTACAATAGCTCATAAAAAGGCCATTACTAAAATTTAAGCAGATTTTAGGGTTTTTTTTCTTACGATTTGAGACAATAATAATGCCATAGCTAGTCTAAATATAAGGTAAAGTCCGAGTCAGCCTTTTTGCGCCTTTTTATAAAATCAAATATCTAAAAATGAGTTCCATAACCTATCAATATTTTGAGCTTATTTTGTTCCTTCCTTAACTAATGCTCTTCTGACTTCTAGTATCAATTTTAAATTCTAGATTTTTTCTTATTTCATCAAGTACATCCTTAATTTGTTATTTTAAGTACCATAGTTAATTATTACTATGGACCTTTTGTTATTGTATGAACTTTTTGTTATTTTTTGGACCATTTATATTTTTATGGACCATTTGTTATTTTATGGACATTTTATTCTTTTGTGGACCTTTTGTTAAATTATGGATCTTTTGTTATTATTTGAACCTTTAATTATTTTATGGACCGTTTGTTATTTAAATTTCATAGACCTTTTGTTATCCAATGGATCTTAGATAGTTACATGTATTTTATGGACAACTTGTTAATTCATGTCTCTTATTTTGATATCTTAATATGTACCTTTTGTTATTTTTTGAAACCTCTTCTTATCGTCTGCATTTTTTTCTTATTTTATGGACTATTTGCTATCTTGTGGACCTTTGTTATTTTATGGATCTTTCGTTCTTTTTGTGCACCTTTTGATATTTTATGTTCTTTTTAGTATGTTATGGACCTTTTATAATTCATGCATATTAGTATTTTTTTTCAATGGATCTTAGATAGGCATTTTATTGACCTTAATTTGTTATTTTCAGTACCTTTTTCAAAATTACTATGGACCTTTTGTTATTTCATGGACCTATTGTTGTTTTATACACCGTACGTATTTTTGTTTTTAACTCGCATTTTTTTGTTATTTCATGGACCTTTTGTTTTTCATTGGACCTTAGATTGTTATTTTGCATATGTATGCGCCTATATGGACCTTTGTCTCTTATTTTAAGTACCTTGATTAATTATTATTATGTTCCGTTAAATTATTTATTTTATGGACCTTTATTTCTTATTCTATGGACTATATTTGTTATTTTATGGACTTTAAGTTGTTGTTTAATGGACTTTTTGTTATCTTATTGACCTGTAGTTATTTTTACCTTTTGCCGTCTTATGGGCCTTTTTTTATTTTATTGACCTTAGTTTGTTATTGTATGGACCTTCTGTTCAACTATACTCCTTAGTTTGTTATTTTTGAACCTTTCGTATTTCTATGTACCTTTTGTTATTTTATGGAACTTTCACTATTTTATGGACCTTTTTTTATTTGATAATCCTGATCATTTTATGGACCTTTCGGGGTTTTTTTTTATTTAATGTAGTACTACCATTTGTTATTTCATGAACTATAAGTACTATATATTATATGCCATTTAGTGAATTTGGTGTAGGAGGCAATTTGTTGAGAGTCTTAAGTTGAATTTATTCACAGCTTTTTAAACTCTGAACAATTTCAAGCTTGACCTTGTTGAAATTTCACGTTTTGTGTCGTTGAGTTACTGTCTAATTGACATATACCCACAGCTTCTTTGATTCAAACAAAGTTCTTGTCATTTGATTCTTTCATTATGATATGAACCCCCGGGTATGAACCCCTATCGTCTGTTTTTGTTAACTATAGTGATGTCATAAGGGAGCAACCGTTTAACTTCAAGGGAGGGGGGGGGGGGTTATGGTTTTTTTTGTCTGAGTCAGAAAATTTTTTCGCGCAAAGCTCGAACAATTTTATTTAGTTTTTCAACGCTATCAACCAAATTACTTTTTTTCAAAAATTAACAGTATTAGGTATGGGGGAAATCTGGATTCACAATCTGCTTGAATAGAAT